TTGCATTGTGGTAAACTGTGGTCAATGACATGAGACAAAGTATATATGAACTGCTGTATGGAAAGTGAATTTGCTCTGTAAATCTTCACCCAAACCACAATAAAAAAATTAAAAAAAATAATGATTGGCTTAACACACACCTTATACTTATATGGCCTCATTTAAGATCACAGCCAAAGCCCTATTACCAAATGGGATTACATACAACAAAATTTTGGGAAGGCACAATTCAATCCATAACAAACTCCCTTCCCAATTGGCCCACTTCAGTGTTCCTCCACCAGAGATGATTTTGCTCCCTAGGCAACTTTGGCTATGTCTGGATTCATTTTTGTTGGTTACAGCTAGGGAGAGGACATAAATGGCATAGTGCCTAAGGCATTTCCCTGCTAACCAGAAGGCTGATGGTTCAAACCCACCAGTCACTACTCAGTAAGAAGATGGGGCAATCTACTTCCATAGAGATACTGCCTCAGATACCCAACGAGGGGTTGCTATGAGTTGAATCCAACTTGACAACAGTGAGTTGGTTTTTAGAGTTTGTTAGTGGGCAGAGGCCAGGAATGCTACTAAGCATCCTAAACTGCACAGAACACCCCCCCCCATAACAAAGAATTATACAGCCCCAAATGTCAGTAGTACAGAGGTTTAGAAACTCACCTAGTGCACAATCACAGAGGTTTATTCAGAACAAGGGACCACAGCTGTGGTCCTGAGTCAAGGCCACAGAATGAAGATGGAACTACCTGCTTGGTTAGCTGTAACGCCTCTCTGAATGATTGGACAGGAGCCATGGCCAACGATTATTGGCTGAGATAACATAAAATATACTTTTCCCAATGAATCAGTTTATACTTGATCTCAATCTCCTCTCTAGAGGCCAGCCTTGAAAATAGTTTTCAAAACACACACATATACATGTATATAATATTTTATAATAGAGGAATTATAATGAGTTTCCCCTGCTCTCACTATAAAGATATTCTACCTCAGCCCATCATGCGCTATATTATTAGTCACTATGAGTCAAAGTCAACTCAATGTCATTTTTTTAAAGAGATCAAAGTATCTGCCATAGCAAACAAGCAGAGACCCCATGAAAATTACACCAAAAGGCAACAAAGGAATAAAGCAAGAGATATTTCTTTTTGCCTTGCAATCTGTCACCTACTTTCTTTTTGGCTTTTATCACCTGAACTCCCTGGCCATCTGAGTATTGAAAGCTGAGGAGCAAATTGGGAAATTACATTTCATGGGGGATTGTACCTCTGAGCAGATGCAGTTCACACAGTAAACCAACCCATAAGGTTCCAGGTAAGGATGCCATATATCACCCACTCTGTACTTCTTGTCTTGAAACATACAGTATGTCTCTGAATCTGTGGAGAAAGAGATGGAAAATATGCTTGTTAGGAAACAGACCAAGTCACAAAATTCAAAGGCAATCACAGGTGACATCTGTTTTAGTGTACATCAAGGAAAGAGACACAGGGAACACTTATAGAACCCCTATATGGACTCAGTACTGGAGCCCTGATGGCACAACGGTTAAGCACTCAGCTGCCAACAGAAAGATTGACAGTTCAAACTCACTCAGCAGCTCCGGAAGAGAAAGATGTGGCGATCTGCTCCTGTAAATAGGACAACTTATGAAGCCCCATGGGGCAGTTCTACTTCATCACATGAGGTTGCTGTGAGTCGGACTTGACTTCATGGCACCCAACAAAAATAAGCTCAGTGTTTTACACACCTTGATCATTGGATCCTCACAATGAGCCCATAAGGTGGGTACTATTACTACTCTCATTTTATAAATGAGAAAAATCAAGGGTCATATAACTAATAGGTAGCTGACGTGGGACTCAAACCCAGGTTTGTCTGACAGTGAAGCTCAAGCTTTTAACTACTGCTTTGCTATAATGATAAGGTAAAGAAGAATATAATGTGTCCTTCTGAAAAACATTGTTTCCCCTTTACTTATTGATTTTAATGATTAAAAATTTCCAGATATTAATATTGTGTTTATTATTTGATGGAAATATTGTCTCCTAGTTTCTTGCTTATCTGTCTTTTCTTTAGTCTTATTTTGATTCTCAGGAAAATTTTTACTGGAGAATAGGGAAAATTAGTGTGTTTGCTACATGAGGAATCTTGGTTATTTTGACCTGGTTTGTTGGGAAGCAGGAGATAAAAGAAGACAGGATTAGAAAGCAAACTACCTGATTTGGAAGACAATTTACCAGTCATTTGCCTGTTGTTGTTGTTGTCGTGTGCTGTCAAGTCGGCCCCGACTCATAGTGACCCCTCCTTGGGTTTCCAAGGCAGTATCACTACGGAAGTAGGATTGCCCAACCTTCCTTCCGAGGAGTGGCTATTGTTACCATTTATTGGCCACAGTGGGCGAGGTAAGCCATATGATGGATAGGGAGTAAAGAATAAATGTTACCTACTCATTTTGTATGACCTGGTAACCTGATTGAGAAATAAGACATGTAAAATAAAACAAGTATATGCTCAAGAAACTATGATACAAGAAAAGTTTTGGCTACCAGTATTTCTATTGCAGCAAAGTAATTCAATAGAGAAACTATCTAAAGACATGAACAGGCAATTCAGAGAAGAAATGGAAATAGGTAATAAACATATGAAAAGTTATGCAACCTCACTAGTAATCAGAGATTCAAATTAAAACTACACTGAACTACCTTATGTCACTTTGGTTGAAAGACCCTCTATGACTCTTTCCCACTGCGCACAGATACATTGCAGTTTAACATTAAACCTTTATTTCCAACTTCTTCAGAATAATAAACTGAGACACAGAAAACCTAGGTTTGAGTCAAACAAGCTCAAGCTGTGTGTCATTGAGCAAGTCACCTAACCTCTGTCAGCCTCAGTTTTCAACATCTGTGAAAGACAGATGATATGTTCCTTAAGCTCTAGATATTGGAGGATTAATTAAAGTTCTTTGCAAATTATAAAGTGCTGCAAAATGCAAATTGTTATTTTGTGCTAGTTGGCTTTTTTCTCCTAATTAGGAAGGCAATGCATATTAAATGTAGAAAATTGGAAAATACTGTACACAAGATCATAATAAAAACATAAAATTATATAGAGTAAAAAGACATGACACATAATCCCAGAACCAGACAATAACCACTTTTAACATTATACTAACATATAAATAGCCCATAGGTTGAAGAAGAAATCTAAAGGGAAATTAAAAAGTATTTTGTAGCAAATGAAAACACAACATATCAAATGGGTGGGATTCAAACTAAAGCAGTACTAAGAGGGAAAGTTATAGCACTGAAATGCCTATATTAGAAAAGGGAAAAAGTCTCAAATCAACACTTAAGACTAGAAAATGTACAGCAAAATAAACCAAAAGCAAGAAGGAAAGAAAGAAAGAATAAAGAGCAGAAATCAAATGAAATCGAAGAGAGAAAATCAACAGAAAAGAATCAATAAGAGGAAAAATTGATTCTTTGAAAGGTCCATAAAAATTGATAAACTTCTAGCAACACTGACAGAGATTAAACACCTAGAAAACTCAAATTACCAATCTCAGGGACAAAAAGGAGACTTCATGGTAGATCTTATAGACATTAAAGGACAAAGAAGGAAAATTATGAATAACTCTATATCAATAAATTCAACAACTTAGATGAAATGGATGAATTCCTTGAAAGATACAAATAACCAAAGCTTACTCAAGTAGAATTAGATAACCTGGGTTTTCTATAACTTTTAAAGAAATTGAATTTGTATTTAAAATCTTTCTCACAAAGAAAACTCCAAGGTCAGATGGCTTCATAGGTCAATTCTATCAAACCATCTCACAAAACTGTAGAGGACAGAATGCTTCCCAAATGAATCTTTGAGGCAAGCATTACACTGATACCAAAACAAAATAAAAATATTACAAGTAAAGAAAACTGAAGACCAATATTTGTCATAAAAGTGCATGCAAAAACTATCAACAAAATTTTAGAAAATAAAATCCAACAATATATAAAAAATAATAATATTTCATGAACAAGTGAGGTTTATCCTGGGAAGTCAAGGCTGGTTCAATATTTGAAAATCAATCAATGTAATTCATCATGTCAAAAGACTAGAGAAAAAAAAAACATGATCATTGCAATAGATGCAGAAAAAGCAAAGTAGGAAGGGGGATTCCTGAACATGATAAAGAGCGTTTACAAATACAACCTACAGTTAATATCATACTTAAGGCCCCCAAATTTAATACTTTTCCCTAAGACTGGGAATGAGGCAAGGATATCTGTTTCTCCATTCTTATTCAACATTATACTGGAGAGCCTAGCCAGTGAAATCAAGCTAAATAAATAAATAAATAAAAATTATATATATTAGAAAGTGGGAAGTAAAACTGTTTCTATATGTAGGAGATATAATTGTCTACATAGAAAATACCAAAGAATCCATTTTTAAAGTTACTATAATTAGAGAATTTAGAAAGACTGTGGGTCAATACAAAACAATTTCATTTCTATATTTTATAATGAACAATTAGAACTTGCATCACTTGCAATTGCTCCAAAAACATACAAATACTTAGCTATAAATCTAACAAAATATGTGCAATATCTACATTCTGAAAGCTATAAAACACTGATAAAAGAAATCAAAGAAGGGCTTAAAAATGGAGATATATACCTTGTTAATGGATTGGGAGGCACAATATTAAGATGTCAATTCTCTCCAAACTTATCTATAGATTGAATGCAGTCCAAATCCAAATATTAGCAGTATATTATGTACAAATTGACAAGGTAATTCAAAATTTTATTTGCAAAGGCAAATGAAGTAGAACAGCCAAACTGATTTTGAAAAAGAAAAAAAAAAGTTAGAGGACATACTCTACATAATTTCAAGACTTAATCTGCAGCTACAGTATTCAAGACAGTGTGGTGTTGGCAAATAGTGAGAGAAAAAGATCAACACAGCACAAGATATAGTTGTTGCTAAGTTCCATCAAGTCAGTTTTGACTCATAGCGACTCCATGTACAACAGAATGAAACACTGCCCAGTGTTACGTCATCCTCACAATTTTTGCTAGGCTTGAGACCACTGTTGCAGCCACTGTGTGAATGAATCTTAGTGAGAGTCTTCCCCTTTTTTGCTGACCCTCTACTTTACCCAGTATGATATCCTTGTCCAGGAGACTGGTCCCTCCTGATAACATGACCAAAGTATGAGAGACAAAGTCTGGCCATTCTCACTTCCAAGAAGCATCCCAGATGTATTTCTTCCAAAACAGATTTGTCCATTTTTCTGGCAGTCCACGGTATATCTAATATTCTTCACCAACACCATAATTCAAATACATCAATTCTTCTTTATTCTTCCTTATTCATTGTCTAGATTTCACATGCATATGAGCCTATTGAAAAGGCCTTTGCTTGCATCAGGCGGACCTTAATCTTCAAAGTAACATCTTTGCCCTTTAAAACTTTAAAGAGGTCTTTTGCAACAGGTTTGCCCAATGCAATATGTCTGATTTCTTGACTGCTGTTTCCATGGGTGTTGATTGTGGATCCAAGTAAAATGAAATGCTTGACAATGTCAATGTTTTCTCCATTTATCATAATGCTTATTGGTTCAGTTGTAAGGATTTTTGTTTTCTTTATGTTGAGATGTAACCCATACTGAAGCCTGTAGTCCTTGTTCTTCATCAGTAAATGATTCAAGTCATCTTCACGTTCAGCAAGTAAAGGTGTGTCACATGCATATCACAGATTTTTAATGACTCTTCCTCCAATCCTAATGCCATATTCTTCCTCATATAACCCAGTTTCCTGGCTTATTTGGTTAGCATGCAGAATGAATAAAAATGGTGAAAAGATACAACCTTAACACACAACTTTCCTGATTTTAAACCATGGATTTCCCCTTGTTCTGTTTGAACAACTTCCTCTTGGTCTATGTACAGCTTCTTCATGAGCACAATAAAGTGTCCTGGGATTCCCATTCTTCACAATGTTATCCATAATTTCTTATGATCCACACAGTCAAATGGATTAAAACACAGATGAATATCTTTCTGGTATTCTTTGCTTTCAGCCAAGATCCCCCTGACATCAGCAATGATATCCCTTGTTCTAAGTCCTCTTCTGAATCTGGCTTGAATTTCTGGGAGTTCCCTGCAACCATTTTTGAATTATTTTCATCAAAATCTTACTTGCAAGTGATGTTAATGATATGGTTTGATCATTTCCACATTCAATTGGATACCTTTCTTTGGAATGGGCATAAATATGGATCTCTTTCAGTAGGTTGGCCAGGTAGCTGTCTTACTAATTTCTCTGCATAAATGAGGCAGCACCTTCGGCACTGCATCCATTTTTGTTG